TTCCCAGAGTAATCAGTTGGAAGAAATGCACCAAAACTCAAATCACTGTAATCATCCACAAATAAAAAAGGAAAATTCTCATTTGTCTCACTTTTTGTTTCTAAATATGATACACCAGGAGAGGCTCAGGCATGGTGTCAATTAGGAGAAAATATTACAAGAGAATTGCAAAGCCCCCAAAGGACATTTTGACCTCCAGGGAGAAGTAGGTTAGACTGTATTGATCAAAATTACTGTGCTCATTCTGGATTCTGGCCCACACACAGCTGATCAGAGTCTTTATATCTGCAACCAGCAGCAGCTGTTCACTAATTAGCCACTCATGGTCCAACTTTAAGGTTCTTTGATCCCAGTTATTTTTTTTGACCACCCATGAGGTAAGTGGTAAATATGTGGACTTGTTTATGAGAAATATGGGGAATCCCTGTGGGGATAGAAAGATAAGATCTGAACTAAAATTCAGGAAAGGGGCACCAGTTTTTACATGGGAGATGCTAAATTAGTATTTGATAATAAAATTCAAGAATATTTCTAGGACCTGTAGTCATTATTGGTAAAAAGTAGTTACGTTTAGGAAACATGGGAATATTTGTCTGAAGGATTTTGCTCTTGCGTGCCAATATGCATGATTGTAGTTTTATTTTTCATGTTGACCTAGTTTTCTTTTACTTGCTATGTAAAGGTAATGATTACCAAGTTTTAAAGAGATAGTGGCAATAAAAAGGATTAAATATTGGGGCACCTGGGTGGCTCAGTGGTTGAGTGTCTGCCTTTGGCTCAGGTCCTGATCCCAGGGTCCTGGAATCGAGTCCCACATTAGGCTCCCCTGCCTGTATCTCAGCTTCTCTCTCTCTGTCTCTCATGAATGGATGAATCTTTAAAAAGAAAAAAGCATTAAATAGTTTAGGACTGCCAACTAGAGAATAAGTTAATGAAATGAGTTAGCTTTCCCATTTCAGGGTTTTTATATAAAATAGAAAGTCTAGATTTTTTGGTAAGTGCTAAATGAGTGATTTAAAAAAAATAATGGGGATCCCTGGGTGGCGCAGCGGTTTGGCGCCTGCCTTTGGCCCAGGGCGTGATCCTGGAGACCCAGGATCGAATCCCACGTCGGGCTCCCGGTGTATGGAGCCTGCTTCTCCCTCTGCCTGTGTCTCTGCCTCTCTCTCTCTCTCTCTCTCTCTCTCTCTCTGTGACTATCATAAATAAAAAATAATAAAAAGAAAAACTTTAAAAAAAAATAAAAATAAAAAAAATAATGTCCAAAATTTTTAAAGAAATGATGAGAAAGGACCTAAACTTTAAGAAAGGATAGAACTTAGTAAATTATTGCCTCAGTTCATGAGGCATAAGTCCAAGGTTTTAAAATCTAATTTTTAGGGCAGCTCTGGTGGCGCAGCAGTTTAGCGCCGCCTGCAGCCCAGGGCGTGATCCTGGAGACCCTGGATTGAGTCCCACGTTGGGCTCTCTGCATGGAGCCTGCTTCTCCCTCTGCCTGTGTCTCTGCCTCTCTCTCTCTGTGTGTCTCTGTGAATAAAAAAAAAAAAATCTAAAACCTAATTTTTTATTTGCAAGTACTACATATAACTACATTCCTAATTTTTCAATTTCAAAGAATTCACAAGTACATAGAATGTTTCATTAATACCCCTCCCAAGTTCTGAGAGCTATCTACTAAGTAAATGTTATTTTAAAAAATTATGTGTACATATGTATGTATATACAAGTAAAAATTTACATAAATAATTTACATTGGATAAAAATCTGTCATGCTTAGAAGAGTCTTTATTCTTTTTCTTTTTTGCCTCTCCTTGCCCCTATACCTTCATCACCTTCTACAGACCTCCAGTATCCTATATATATGTTTTTAAAGATTTTACTTATTTATTCATGAGGGAGGGGGTGGCAGAGACACTGGCAGAGGGAGAAGCAGGCTCTATGCAGGGAGCCCGACGTGGGACTCGATCCCAAGTCTCCAGGATCAGGTCTCCAGGATCAGGCCCTGGGCTGAAGGTGGCGCTAAACCGCTGAGCCACCTCGGCTGCCCCTCCAGTAATCTATTAACTTCATAGTGTGTGCCCTGTATTTTTTCTCCATGCTCATATAGATATATACCATATACCAAATATGTATACACATTTATAGGATTTTATTTTACTCTGATATAAAAATCTCACATTGAATCTATGGATCAGTTAATTTGGGGAGAATTGACATGTTTACAAATACTATTTTCCAATCCCTGAGCATGGTATATCCCCCAATTAATTTATATAAAGAAATATGTGTATTTGGCAGTGTGTCTATCCTTGAAACTTTGTCCTTTGGTTTCAGTGACACTATTCTTAGGGTTCCCCCACCCACCCTTTGTCCATTTTTCATTTTTATTTGTAGATTTATTTTCCTATGCTATTTCTCAGCGTTCTGTCATTGGCTTACTTTGTCTTGTCCCAGCATGATCTCTACCTATTCAGTGATTATTCACAAATTGTAAATGTTTATCTCCTGTTTGTACCTTTTTTTTAAAACGTCTTTTTTTTAAGATTTGTTTGTTTGCTTATTTATTTATTTATTTATTTATTTATTTATTTATTTATTTATTTATTTATGATAGACATAGAGAGAGAGGCAGAGACACAGGAGGAGGGAGAAGCCGGCTCCATGCCGGGAGCCCGACGTGGGACTCGATCCCGGGACTCCAGGATCGTGCCCTGGGCCAAAGGCAGGCGCTAAACCGCTGAGCCACCCAGGGATCCCCATGTTTGTACCTTTTGTTGTTTTTACTCTCGAGACCCAAATGCCTTCTGGACATCTCCACTTTTGGTATTCAATTTTTTGGGTAAAATCTAAAAATTTTTCAATTGCAATTTCTGGCACTGATGTGCTTAAAAAGGATTTCCTTTACTTCAAAATTATAAAACATTTGTCCTTTATATATATTTTTTAATTAATTAATTTATTTATGATAGAGAGAGAGAGAGAGAGAGAGAGGGGCAGAGACACAGGCAGAGGGAGAAGCAGGCTCCATGCACTGGGAGCCCGACATGGGATTCGATCCCGGGTCTCCAGGATCGCGCCCTGGGCCAAAGGCAGCCGCTAAACCGCTGCGCCACCCAGGGATCCCTGTCCTTTATATTTTATTCTAATACTTTCATAGTTAACTTTTTTACATTTAATACTATATTCCACCTGGGATTTATTTTATTTTTGGATATAAGTAGGGAAAATGGAATGATTCTATATTTTTTCTCTTGTTTTTTTAAAAAGATTTATTCATTTGAGAGAGAGAGCAAGTGCACTTGCATTGTGTACAAAAGAGCAGGGGAGGGGCATAGGGAGAGGAAAAGGAAGAGAATCCTCAGCAGACTCTCAGCTGAGTGCAGAGCCCAACCTGAGGTTTGTTCCCATGACCTTGAGATCATAACCTGGGCTGAAACCAAGAGTTGGACACTCAACTGACTGAGCCACTCAGGCACCCCTGTCTTGTGTTTTTGAGTTGATATTCATCAATTCTTTTTCAGTATTTGTCTGTTTTGTATGTTAGTGAGAATCCTTACTAAGTACTATGAAAGCTGGACCAGGTATATCTTGTTCATTGTTGAATTCTTTGGCTCTAGGACAATGTCTAGGTGATAGTAGGATTTTAGTAAATATTATTGAATGAATGAATTGTGGAAGGGGAAAATTCTTTCATTATTGGTTTTAACTTTATAACATTTTCTGTTTTTTTTTTCTCCACATTTTTAGTATTGGGAAGTCTTCCACATCTTAGAAGCCTTTAACCTATTTAAGTATTTTAATCTCATCGAACTTTAAAAATATTCTTTTTTTTTCAGGGTAAACCAAATAACCTATTCATGTCAGCTATACTTGGTTCTTTCCTAGATTCCAAGCTTGCTAGAGAAGCAGTTTATATTCACTTTTCTTCTAAATTAACAAAGCTTTCATGAAAACATGCAGTTCCAGATGTGGCTTTGTGGGTATAATCACATGTCTGGTACTGTTTCTATGACTGCTTAATCTTTACTGCTACCCTGTGCCTGTCCCAGAGGGCTTATTTGGTTGATTTTTCTTACTTGCAGTGGGATCCATAGACAATACATAATGAGGATCTACTTAGATTTTTTTGTTGATTATTCCAGTGATAAAGCCAAGGAACAGTTTTAAAATGGAAAGACATTTCATCCCAGTATTATTTAATGATACCTTCTGTGTGTAAAGAATAAAATGCTATAGAAAGTGTCTCTGTCTGCAGAAAGTATACCTTTCCATGAAGAGGGACATAAGACATAACCATCACAAAACTCATGGTATATACAATGCCAGATGAGTGGTATTCAGGAATGGGAAAAATCTCTCTGACTTGGGATGGTTAAGGAAAAACTTCCTGGCAAAATTGAGACTTAGTTAAGATCACATAGGATAGGGGAGCCTGGGTGGCTCAGTTGGTTAAGTGTCTGCCTTCAGCTCAGGTCATGATCCCAGGGTTCTGGGATTGAGCCCCACTTTGGGCCCCTGCTCAGTGGGGAGCCTGCTTTTCGCTCTCCCTCTACCTGACTCTCCCCCTGATTTTGTCTCTTCCTCTCTGTTAAGTAAATAAATAAAAATGTAAAAAAAGTTAATGTAGGATGTCTGGTCAATGGGACATCTGATATAGGTAGAAAAAGGATCAAAATTTGTGATGAATGCATTGTACAAATACGAGGGCCATTGCATATGGTGGGATGATGGGATGATAGTCAACTTTGTGTGGGAGAGGAGAGGATAGGCAGGAAACTGGATCAGTCTTTAGTTTTTTGTTTGCCAAAAACATATTCCTTGAAAGTATCCTATTTCAATCAAGCATGGACCTTAAATATTAGGGCTGGAAAATCCCTCATAGTTTTGCTGACATGAAAAAAGAAACTGCTTTATTGATGAGCCTGTGTTGTTGAACATTATATCCATGAGTGCTAATAACTTCAGCGTTTTCTGTATGTTTCAGACATTAGCCTCTTACCATGGGGGATTGGAATTTATTGGGTGGCATCCTAGAGGAAGTTCATTCCCACTCAACTATAGTGGGGAAAATCTGGCTGACCATTCTCTTCATTTTCCGAATGCTGGTACTTGGTGTGGCTGCTGAAGATGTCTGGGATGATGAACAGTCAGCATTTGCCTGCAACACTCAGCAGCCAGGTTGCAACAATATCTGTTACGATGATGCTTTCCCTATCTCTTTGATCAGGTTCTGGGTTTTACAGATCATTTTTGTGTCTTCTCCTTCTCTGGTGTATATGGGCCATGCACTTTATAGACTTAGGGCTTTTGAGAAGGAGAGACAGAGGAAAAAGTCACACCTCCGAGTCCAGATGGAGAATCCAGAACTTGAATTGGAGGAGCAACAAAGGATAGATACAGAACTGAAAAGGTTAGAGGAGGAGAAGAGAATCCACAAAGTCCCCTTGAAAGGATGTCTGCTGCGTACTTATGTATTACATATCTTGACAAGATCTGTGATGGAAGTAGGGTTCATGATAGGCCAATTTATTCTTTATGGGTTTCAAATGCACCCCCTTTACAAATGCACTCAACCGCCTTGCCCTAATGCAGTGGATTGCTTTGTATCCAGGCCCACAGAGAAGACAATTTTCATGCTCTTTATGCACAGCATTGCAGCCATCTCTTTGTTCCTGAATGTACTGGAAATATTTCATCTGGGAATCAGGAAAATCATGAGGGCACTTTATGAGAAATCCAGCAATGAAGGCGTTGAAGAGGAAAGTGGAACCCCATTCCATTTGAAAAAATATTCAGTGGCCCAGGAGTGTATGATTTGCTCTCCCTTGTCTAAAAGAATCTCTCTACTTCAAGCCAACAATCAACAGCAAGTCATTCGAGTCAGTGTGCCAAAGTCTAAAACCACGTGGCAAAGCTCACAGCCCATGCCAGTTGAAGTAGACCCTTGCTATGTTAAAAAAGAGTGGGCCAGGAAGGATCAGTACAGAGGACAGCTCCATGTGCACAGCCCATGTCCCTGGGATGGCGTTACTCAAATTCAGCACCCGGGACAGCAACCAGACCGCTCCTCTGGCCTAGAAAATGCAAAGTCCCAGTCCTGGGTAGGTACAGAGATGGCTTCTAAACACTACCGATCCCATGCAGTAGGAACCTGGGAGCAGTCCCAGGGTCGACGATCCTCAAGAGAGCCTCTCACAGATTTGCACAGTTTCTGTAGAGACAGCGATGGCAGTGTGAGAAAGAGTGGGGCCTGGACAGACAGATCTTACCCGGGCAGTCGCAAGGCCAGCTTTCTGTCCAGATTGCTGTCTGAAAAGGGACAGTTGCACAGTGACTCAGGAAGCTCCAATTCTCGGAACAGCTCTTGCTTGGACCTTCTGCACCGGGAAAATAGCCCCTCACTTCTGCCTTCAGCCACTGGGTACAGAACATCAATGGTAAGTAAAGACAGACAGCTGGACTGAACATAGAACTATTGCAAGAGGTTTTCCACTCTGGCTACTTCTTAGCCTTCCTTTTCCAGCTTCCTTGTGTGTATATGTGTGTGTTAAGAGAGAGATAGAGGAGGTGAGGGAGGTTAATTTATGGGCAGTTAAATCCAGTCATTCAATACATTCAGTTAAATTCAATTAATGGTATAAGCTTACTGAAAACTTACTTTATATCGTTCAGTCTTGTAAGTGCTGGGTTTATAAATGGATAAAATGCTGTCTATGCCATCAAAGGACTCAGAGTCTAGATGGGAAAGTTAGACAGGTGAGCATACAAATGTGATCAAATGTAAGGTGCCATGTTAGAAGGGGTGGGAGGGCAAAGGAGGGGGTGGTCAATTCTTTATGGATGGGTTGGGAAAAGCTTCATACTTTTGAATTGAGTCTTAAAAGATGTGATGAGTTTCTCCAGACCTAAGAGGGCTGGGACACATGAAAGAAGGCCATCCCAGTACAGAGAGCAGCACAGACAAAGGCTGAGAGATGTGACACAGTAGTGCTGTCTGGGGAGCTATGTGTGGTTGGAGCACTAGCACGTAGGAAGGCTATGGACAGGGAAGGCTGGAGAAGGGCCATGGAGGTCTTGTGGGAAGACAATGGAGAACCCACTGAGAGTGTGCAGTGGAGAAGAAATGGGATCAGAACTACATTTTAGAAAGCTCTTTTCTGTCATAGTGTGGAAAATGGATCAGAAGAGAGATCATTTGTAACCTTGAGTTGCCCATGTCTCATTAAGGAAGGAGGGTGTGCTCCATTGTTTTTAATAGCTCTGGCATTTAAAAGACATATACAAATATTTGGCTATATAGTTCACAAAGACTAAAATCAATATTGTATCGATTTTAATTCTGTTTTCTGAAAAGCCAATGTGTAATAAACATTTCCTGGCCATTGTTAAGACATAATGGATATTTACTATGGACTCTTCTCAACTCTGGAAAAAAGAATGACACTTGCTTTATCCACTGTTCTTAACAGCTTTTTCTATTAAAAGGAAACTCCCCCAAGTTTAGTGGGGGAACTTCCTAGTTGAGCTCACTTGGTTAAGCTCTACACACATACTTTCTCCTGTTAATGATTATATCTGTGATGATTGAATCTCTCCCTTAGTTTCATATCTCCTGTGAGTTTAGAGATACTTTGTTATGCACTAAAACCATATATTGAGGAGGAATCATCCTATCTAGATTTTTCCCATAATACTTCTTTCAAACTGAAACTCATTTTTTGTCAGTGACCAGTCATCTACCCAGAGACTATGTTTAGGATCAGTGTGTGGCTACTTGGAACCCATACCAACCTATAGCAGGGTTCTCAACCCTGGCTGAGTTAGAGTCATCTGGGTGCTTTAAAAAATCTTTTTGCCTAGAACCCATCCAATTAGAATTAAACCAAAATCTCTGGGGGTGGACTGCAGGATCAGAATATTTAAATAAATTCTACCCACAATGTGGGGCTCGAACTCATCATCCCAAATCAGGAGTCACATGCTCTACTGACTGAGCCATTCAGGTGCCCCTAGGATTAGTATTTCTTTTTTTTATTTTTTTTTAAGATTTATTTATTTATTAGACACACCCACACACACTGTACACAACAGGGGTGAGAGGAGCAGAGGGAGTAGGGAGAGAAAATCTCCAGCTGGCTCCCTGCTGAGAGCAAGGAGCTTGATGCAGGCTCAATCCCACAACCCTGAGATCCTGAGATCCTAACCTGAGCTGAAACTGACTGAGCCACCCAGGCACCCCTAGGTTAGTATTTTTTAAGCTCCCATGGTGATTGCAATGTGCAGCCAGGGTTGAGAACCACTATTTACAGTAAACTTGCCAGTGGTTACTACTTCTTACCTACATTTGTGAAGTCAGCAAGACAATTTTAATCATTTTCCCTTTCTTATACCTCCTTCCACGTGCGAGGAATCTTTGTATCGGCAGAGAATTGAGGGAGAGTCCAAAGTGTTTAGTTGAGGCAGATATTTAAAAATCTTTCAGATTATCTTTTAGGTGAGGCCAGCCATTTTTTTTAAGCCTGGAGAAAAGATGATGAAGATGACAGACCCCCTATCTTTTTTCTTCTCTTTCTTCCCTGTTTTTTATGTTTCTAGGAATTACAAATAATGTCTTTGGACACAGAGCTTTCCTACTTATGGTCACTTTCCCACTAAGTCTCTTACAGGGTCGACGGGCTACTTCACTCCCCAAATGGTAAGATGACTTGGGGATTGAGGCCCCAACTATCAACCCTAGGGCTCTGTGGATGACACATCATGCTTCTTGCCAACAGAGGGACCTTTAATTAGAAATCAGTGCAGCAAGAAGGATTGTAATCATCACTGTGAATATATTGACTATAACCTGCTTTTTTACACTGTATTAGGCCCTGGATTGTAGAACTTTTAGGACTCGGTCAGATGCATTCTGATTTTGGCAGTTGATGTTTCAGAGAGAAATGACTTCTGGTTAGGACCACAGTTGCTTTGCCACTTATGATGTCTCCCTTGGAACAGTTCTGCAAGAGAAATGCATACTATTCTAGAAGACCATAAAAGCCACCTAGAGGAGCCATGATTTTATGCTCTGAGACATTTCCCTTGCTGTCACTCAAATCCCACTATTTCTTCAAGTCCAAACTCATTGATTGCTAGATAAGTTCCTATCAGGGTTAGTTCTTTGAGGTCAGACTTGGCTGGGCATGGAAAGCAGACTTTCATTTTGGCCAGATGAGCCTGGGGAAGAGGGCCGGCTGAGTTGTTGAGCAAAAATGGAGCTTTGGAAAAGGTTGGCTTACAGTTTCAGACCTGGATTTTGGACAAAAAACAATAAAAAACAATGGGAGAAGGATAAGATGGCGGGATCCATGGGTGGCTCAGCAGTTTAGCATCTACCTTCGGCCCAGGGCATGATTCTGGAGATCTGGGATCGAGTCCCACATCGGGCTCCCTGTATGGAGCCTGCTTCTCCCTCTGTCTGTGTCTCTGCCTCTTTCTCTCATGAATAAATAAATAAAATCTTAAAAAAGAAAAAAGGATAAGAAGATGGCAAATGGGATTTGGATCTTTTAGGGAATCTAAAGAATCTGAAGAATTGTCTTCAGCAGGTTTTGATTGGATCCCTGGTATTTGTGACATACACAGAGTCCCAGTTGGGTGGGCAGGACTGACTTTTACAAGCCCTTTGGATCTATTTTGCTTTGTTTGTCTTGTTTCCTATTTCTTTCAGAACATGCTTCTAGAACTTTCATCTATTATGAAAAAATAATCCATGCGTGGGGCTAGAAAAATGGACCCAGGAGCAGCCGGCATCTGCAGGAGAAAAGTTGCACTTTTGTTAGCTCAAATTGCAAGAAGAACTGCAGGAACCATTCTCTCCACAGGGACACCCACCAGGTGATGGGTGTGTACAGGGCCCACAGGAGACCTTTCCCTGATGGGGCTGGGATCAATGTCTGGTTGCCCCTGGCCTCACCACTGGGGGGCAGGTCTGCTCTCAGGCAGGATGAGACAGGGAGGAAGTGCAAACCAGGAGAAAAAAATCTCGGGGAAGAGCTCCTGCCACTCTGAGGGGAGAAGGATTAAGAAATGGCTATCCTTGCCCCACCGAGCAGCCTGGTGGGACTTGTTGCCCTGTTCACTGCAGAGAGCACTCCTGCTCTGCAGTGGCACAGCAGCAGCTGGAACCATTGAATAGATGGATCGATCGATCGATCTCCTATTGGCTCTCTCTGGAGGACCCTGATACACTGGGTAACTGCCTGGGATGCTGCGGAAGGGAGCCCAGCATTGGATGGGGCTGCTCTGTGCTTCTAGCCCGAATGGCTACTGAGTCCTCTCTGTCCCCATACTTTGCAGAGGTGGAAATGAGGTGTGGAGATATGAAGAGGCATGATCTGTTCCACAGTGAGTTGCTAGAAGAGCCGGTGAAGACCATGTGGATGAAAACGATGTTGGGGCCAAGTCCAAGTGTGTGCGTGCCCTTAAGGGGCCCACCATATTCCATGTGCTTGATGAGGACTCATTCTATCTTGTACAGCTGTGTAAAGTTATTGTTCATCCCGTTTTATAGATCAGCGAAGGCTCAAAGAGACGAAGTAACTTGCCCCACAGCTAAGGATCGCACAGCTGAAGTGTCTGCTGTGCAGCTGAATTCAAACCCAGTCCCAGCTGCTCCAAGGTGCAGACCCCTTCCAGGAAGCTGTGAAGCCGTGCTGCCTCTTGTCCATAACAATCAGCAGCCCCTGGGCCATGATTTATTTGCACATCTGTCTGTCCAGCTAGCCTGTGGAAGCTATAAGGATAAGGCCTGTGCATTTTAAATCTTGGATGCCCAGCATGCAGCACAGCATTGGATGAATGAATGTATGTTTATGCATAGATGCCAAAGACAATATATTACCTTTCACTTTCAAGTCTCTAGGCTCTTCCTTATTCACTGGTGTTCTGTTGTGTGCTGTCAATAGGTTTATTATGAGAGACTCTTTCAGAAACCTGTATGGCAGCGGGTTTTTTTTTTTCCTTTAAATTTCCTTTACCCCCAGAAGCCTTTACAGGGTCATAAACAAATAGAAGTTATAAATAAACGTTAAAGGAGTGTAAAAGGTGATGCTTCTAGTAAATGCTGGTGTGTCTCTGATGGATTCCATCTTTTGCTTTAGGATGAGGCTCACTGCCTCAGGGATGCACCTGTCTTCAAGGGGGAAGAGGAAAAGCTAGCCATGAAGAACCAGTAATGCCTCTTTCTGGTTGACTGAGCAGGCCAGTGGCAGGTGTATGTGGGGATCTGAAGGAGCCAGAGGTGTGAGGATAGAAGGTATCATGGTTCTTGAATCAAAGTGAAAGGAAAGGCACTTGAGTAATGGGATGTGGGATGAATAGCTTTTTCCATCTCTCTGGAAAGCGACAGTGCTCAAGGGGGAGAATTAGAAACCCATTCCACTCTGGGCACTATTGCCAGCTGATGTTAAACATCAACTACAGTCTAGCTCGTGCATTATAATTGAGGGGTGGGGGTGATGGGTTGGAGAAGAGTGAAAAATTCTAGAACAGTTCGAAAGCCTAGTTTTTTTTTTTAAGATTTTATTTATTTATTCATAGACAGAGAGAGAGAGAGAGGAAGAGACACAGGCATAGGGAGAAGCAGGCTCTATGCAGGGAGCCCGATGTGGGACTCAATCCCGGGTCTCCAGGATCACACCCCAGGCTGCAGGCGGTGCCAAACCGCTGTGCCACCGGGGCTGCCTAAAGCCCAGTTATTTCTAAACAGATCCCCAAACTGTTGGAGGGAACTGGTATAGCAGTCGCTAATCTGAGAATCCTCATTGTACCCTGAAAGTAGATATGAATCCCTCCAAAGGTGCTCAAAGGAAAGTGGCTGCTGACCATCTGGGGTGGGCGGTGTTTGAATGCTCCTGTTCTGCAGAACACAATGGCTTTATTCTATTTCAAACTATCATGGTCATTCCCACCACAGGTGCAAATGTCAAGGCCGAAGAGCAAATGACCATCAGTTCCAAATGACCAGGTTGGCTTTCTGGCCTCCCTCCCTCCCTTCCTCCCCTTCCTTCCTTCCTTCCTTCCTTCCTTCCTTCCTTCCTTCCTTCCCTCCCTCCCTCCTTCCTTCCTTCCTTCTGTTCTTTCCTTCTATCCTTTCTTTTCCTTCCTTCTTTCCTTTCTTTTTTCCTTCTCTTTCTCCCCCCCCTTTTTAAAAAAAGATTTCAGAGAGAGAGAAAGCGCATGCGCATGGTGGAGGGGGGAGCAGAGAGAGAGGGAGAGAGAAAAACCCAAGCAGACTTGGAAGCTAAGTGCGGAGCCCAACATGGGGACTTGATCCCGTGACCCATGAGATCATGACTTGAGCTGAAATCAAGAGTCTGATGTCTAACCAACTGCACCACCCAGGCGCCCTTAAATCACCAGGTTTTCTTAATAAAATTTTTTGGAACTAAGACCCACCTGCTTTCCCCAGAAGGGATTGAATAGCTTTGTGTCTTTAGGCAAAGGACTATACTTGACCTCTCATGCCTAAAACGTTATGATGGTGTGGTTTTGCTAACAGTTGCTAACCCCATTATATGCTCCCTGGAAGCCCTCCTTGACTCAGTAGAGTGCCCAGGGTGTGGAAATTAGTTTCCCCATCTGGTGGATGGGGTGAGGCCAGGCACTTCCTGAAGCTCAGATCTCAGCAGCACTGTGCTCTTCAGACAGCATGAGAATTTATTATTGACCACCCACGTCCAGCTCTCCTCATGGTCATCTAGCCTACCGGCCATTCGGTATCTTGCTTTCCTTTTACATTGAACTCCAGGACTCAAATGATCAAATACAGTTTCCTAGTTTAATGTTACTCCCTTAACCACAATTCTAAATTCCCCTAACCACAATTGTAAACTCCCTTAACCACAATTCTAAACTCCCTGCCCTGCTGATCCTCGTATCTTGGTGTTGTTGGTTTAGTGCCCCTTTCTCTCTGGTTACTTTTAGTTAGCTTTCTGTTTTATTTATTCATTTAGTCAGTCAGTTAAATCTGCCCCCAATGTGGGGCTCAAACTCACCACCCTGAGATCAGAGTCACATGCTTCCCTGACTGAGCCATCTGGGCACTCCTAGCTTTCGGTTTTCAATTAGACCTGTTATTTTGCGGTAACTGTAGATCCACATGTCCTTGTAAGAAACAATACCCTTCACCAGCTGCCCTTCACCAGCTGATGTTTTGTGTGGCTATGGCACATGGAAGCCAGGAAATTGCGTTTAATGCCTTTTATCTGCTTTACCAGGCATTGGGGATTTTTTTTTTTAATTCAGAGCTGAGGAGTTACATTAGCATTATCCCATTTTTTAGGTCTCTCATCAGATTAATCAGGCAGCAGTTAAGGGTCCATGCTAGAGGAATACCCATGGCCTCTCTGGGAGAAGAGATTTCCTACGGCCTCCAGTCCCGTGATCCGTAACACAGGGAGCAGAGGCAGGGAAAACCAACTTACAATGCATAATGATATGTCTTTATTTCATCAACAGAAATGGTGTCTAGACAAAATTCAGTTAACACTAGCAATTCAATTGAGTGAAAATTCTTTTTTGCACAATAGTGTATTTACAATGAGTAAATGAAGTTTCAATTCATTAGTTCATAGCAATGCTTTTTTTCCCCCAAAATGGTAAAAATTCTTAGTTACAGAGAATAAGCATCAACAGCCATTTCATTTTTACAATAAAAACCACAACAAAAAACCACAATCACTTAGAAAAAAAAAAGACAAGCCTAAGAACTAGTACAATAAAACGATGCATCGAATTAAGTTACATTAATCGCATAGAATCTGTGTAAAAAGTATGTAGAAAAACACCTGATGTAACCTGTTACAGTCGTTGAGCAGTTATGAGAGGTACAGAGGGTTATACAGGTAGATATGTGTGAAACTGTCCGTATGGTTCGACCTGGGGAGGAAGAAGAGAGGGGCTGCAGCCCCTTGCATACACTGAGAAGACCCTGTTTTGAATATGGCCTCTGGAGTTTGTAAGGCATATATTAGAGGTGCGCTTGCATCAGACTGGTTCTGGAACAAATCCTCCCAGGCCCTTCTGGCCTCACAAGCAGAGGTGGTGCTTGCCTTGAGCGGCTCACCGTGTCTAACCAGCACCCGGAGCTCCCAGGTGCACTCACCAGAGGTGGCAGGTCTTTCACGTCCGAGCGTGAATGGGCATCCCGGCCTTCACACACACCAGCGGCATTGCTAGGACCCAGGGGAGGTCACCCCTCTGCCCGCAGGCATATTTGGGTAGGAGACTTAGCATCATCGGTAGGAAAAACCCTCTTTGTCCCAAATCCCTTCCCTCCTTCCTCATATACGTGTCTGGTCAGCCCCCCCAGGAACACTTGGCACTGACTGAATGGTCTTGGTGCCCTTCTGCTTCTAAGGAGGGCCACTGTTTTATCTGAGGTCAAGAAACTGGAATGAAGTGAAAGTCAGAGTTGTTTATCCATTGCTTGGTAGTGAGATGCATGCACCACGTCACAACATTAAATCAAAGCTACAAAGTGGGCCTCTGCACCCAAGGGGTAGTCTTCACAGAATGGCAGCATCATTTTCCTATTACCATTAAAATGCACTGATACTCATTTGATATAAATATTATCTCCCCGGGTGGAGTGTAGGAAAATACTATACACGTCCTTTTCTTTGCAAGAAATGTTTTTGCACCGTCAGCCGAATAATTTATCCTCAATCTGCCACCATAGGTCCTTTCTATGTACAAATACGATCTGCACACACTATCTGCGTACAGATGTCGTCTAGTCTACAGCATCAGTCTTTGACGCTCGGGTCAGGAGCCGGCTCGGGCGGTACTGAGAACATCCAGATGGCCTCCATGCACACGGACCTCCCGCACGAATACCAGCTCCACACAGGGTACTGCACCGTGGCCTGACTCGCCATTAACTGTGCCTACAACAAGATCCTCAATTTGGGGAAGGAATATTAACCTAGGATAGAGTGAACAGCTTTATTTTTAAACAACAACAAAAAAATTCTGCCCCTCAGTCTATTTACAGTGATTTGAAGACAAGACTTGATTCTTGCTCCCTTTCAGGTCTGCGACTCCTCCAAAACTAGAAGCAGAAGGGGAGCAGTGTGAAGTCATTTGTTAGGCAGCTGCTAGTTTAAATGGGGTATAATGTAGAGACCCAGCCGGGTAGGTCTTTTGTAGCCAAGTAACCTTGCAGACTTTACCCACTTTGAGAGGCGCTGTGCTACTCCACAGGATGCAGAGCAGCCCAGAGGGACAGGGCTCTGGGATTTCTTAAAAGGCTTATAGTTTATACGCCTTTGTTTGTTTCTTCTTCCTTAATGGCATCATTAAGTATTAAAAGAGTAATTGTAGGTTTAGGCCTTTTTTTTTTTTTTTAAAGATTTTTAAAAAGTCATCTCTACACCCAATGTGGGGCTGGAACTTAACCCCAAGATCAAGAGTCGCTTGCTTTATCGACTGAGCCAGCCAGGCGCCCCTAGACCTCCCGATCATAGCTTCGAACTTCACGTTGTGCCCACCTGATTTCTGGCAGTTCTCTCGTGCAAGTCCTAGAGCTGGTCCCTGGCCTCCTTTTTAAGGAGAAGTGGCAGTTGGCATTCTAATCACTAGCCTTTTTTTTTTTTTTTTTTTACTTCCTTGGGAAAGCAATACAAGGATTAAATCCAAAGTCATAGTGCATCTTAAAAGCAGCATACTTTTAGAAAGACAGTTAATAAATTACTTATACAAAATAATGTTTTATACTGCAGCATCACCTCTGACGCCTGAGTCATTGTTAGGGAACCCGGAATAGAAATAGCAGGATGGCCTAGTAACTTCGCCAGCTCTTTTGTTTTGTTTTTGCAACTGTTTTGTTCCAGAATCAGTATGTAATGAAGTT